TAGTAGTAGTAGTAGTAGTAGTAGTAGTAGTAGTAGTAGTAGTAGTAGTAGTAGTAGTAGTTCAGTCATTTTCAGTCATCACCCCATTTGGAGACTCAAATCCAGGGTTTCTGACTCCAAGTCCATAACACCAAGCTGCTTCCTTCTGTGTTTTGAGTCTGACCTCTCTTTTTGGGGAAGTGGTGTGGAGAAGAGGATAAGAGGGAGGGGGAGGAGGAGAATAGGGAAGGGGGAAGGTCTGCTGGGAAAAGCAGGCTCACAGTTAGCCAAAATTTCTCAAATGTGGCATGGTCACTCAGCAAGCTCCAATAGCAAAAACAAAGAAAATGTTCCCAGCCAGACTCATTAAGTGGGTGAGAGCTCTGTCAGTCCCACACACCAGGAAATGGTTTTCTCTAGTCTGAGTTACAGCAGTGGGGTGGAAAAGTGATCTTTGTTATTTCCTTCACAGGAGGGCTTTGGTTAAAACAGGAAACAAAAGCTGCCCAACCATTCCTAGCTGACAAACGTGTGTACTCGGTGAGTTCTCCTTTTCCTTTTGCCAAACCTGAGGGAGCAGAGACAAGCAGAGGAAGGTGTTAATGTTGATTGCAATCATATGATCATGGAGCAGGTACTAAAAATTGCTGGAAGGAATCTTGAAGGCCAGCCAGTGTACCCCACCCCCCACCCACGAATCTTATAGAAGAAAGATCAGAGAGGGGAAATGTCCAAGCTCACATAGACAAATCACTTCATCTCTTCAGTACAGTGGCAAAGCTGGCACTAGAATTCAGATCACCTGATTCTCCAGTCCAGTCAGTCTGCTTTCCATTAGAATCAATTTATAAAACCGGAAGGAACAGAATTTAGCATTTCTTTTTGACAAGGTCTGGGGTATCATCTCAATATAAAAATGAACAGAGAATATTGGTCATAAGTTCATTCATTCAACAACATTTATTAAGTGTTTTGCCTTTCTTTGTGTACCCAGTACTTTAGTATAGTGTTTGGCACACAGGATGGACTTAATTAATGCTTATTGATTGAGTTTGTCTCCTGTGTTCCCAGAGTATTGTATTTAGAAAATAGAGAGCTAGAAAATTTAGATCTGATAATGTTCCTGCCCTTAAGGCTCCTTACCTTTGTAACAGGGTAAGAAATTCACAGCTAACTACAACCTTACATGATTAGAGGTAATCAATACAATCTTACATGCCAAGTGCATCAGAGATGAGCAAAACAGAAGACCCAGTAAAGTCCAAAGGGAAAGTCTATTGTTACTAACAAAAGAGATTGAGGAAGGCTTCCTGGAGAAGGTGATGTCTGAGATTTGGGTTTAAAAGGATGGGTAAGAAGTTTTTCTCCCCATGTCATTAGTAGACATCTATTTTACCAAACTACTGTAAGGCCAATGGGTTCTCCTTTGGGGGGGTTAATAACAAAATAAACTAAAAATGAACTCCATCAATGTGGGAGTAGGCAGTGATGCATCAGATTCCCAAGGGCCATGCTGTAAGAATTTCTCAAGAGAGAAAATAACCATTTCCTTTAATTTTTTCCTATATATGTCTGTTCTAACAGGGTACCCACTGATTTCCATGAACTCTTATTAGGAGCCTCATTTGTTTTCTTTGTCCCAAATGTATCCATTCTTCCCACTAATGATGGGTGTATTTTCGGGAGAGTATGCCCAAGGTTTATAAGGGAAAGATATTTTTAATTGAATAAATTTTATTCATATCTTTTGGGTTTATGTCAAATAAATTTCCCTGTGTCTCAAAGTGTGTGTGTGTGTGTGTGTGTGTGTGTGTGTGTGTGTGTGTGTAAAACCCTTTCCCAGAAAGCCAAACCTTACATCAAAGAAGCAGTGTTTTTTTAAGAGAAAAAGAGGAGAAAAAAATCAACAAAACTGACCAATACACACAAAAAAAATTTACTATACTGTATATGCAATTTTTCACATCACACGTTGGACAACCTCCTCCCCCACATACACCTCTGCAAAGGAGCAGGGGAGGGAGGTGTCTTCACATATCTCCTCACTGGGGCCACGCTTATTGGACATGTTTTATTTCTTCTTCTTCTACTCTTTCATCAAATGCCTTTGCTTTGAACTAATGATGTCCTCTGGCAGAATAATAAAGGTAACATCCATAAGGATAAACACCAAAGAATTTAACATAAAGCTACAGTATTTTGATCTCTAAAATAGGGATGATAAATCTTATACTACTTACTAAGCTATACTACTTATACTATACATAGTTATTGTGAAGTAAATGTTCTATACTTCAAACATTTAAAGGATGCAATAGAAATACATGCTATTATTATTCACATGAAATAATTATGGAACAGTATAATTAAGTACTAAGTCAAAATCTAACCAGGTCATTCCCCTGCTCAAAACTCTTCAGTGGCACCCACTTGTATTGAAGATAAAATATAAGACTCTTATGGATGATATTTAAAACCCTCCATAATCTATTTCTAATATACCTTTACAGATTTATTTCACATGACTTCCCTTCATGATTCTATCAATGTCCAGCTCAGCTGGACTACCAGCTATTTCACAAACTGAGAATATCAATTTTGGTCTCTGTGCCTTTACACAGGCTGTCTCCCATGCTTTTGAGGCATCCAGACATGTGTAGAGAACTCTGCATGTAGAAACTCCTCCACCAATCCAAATTAGCAACAATTCCATAGGTGATCATCTTAGAAAGCCTTGGGTAGTTAAATGACCTGCCCATATGCCCACAATTTATACATCAGAAGCAGGACCTGGACCCAGATCTTTCTGATTCCAAGGTCAGCTCTGGAGTCACTATACTACAATGCCTCTAGCATGATACATAATAAGTACTTATTAAAGTTCATTGATTTGAATTTAATTGTGTTAAGTGGCATACCACAGAGTGTCTGCTGAAGCAGTTGGGGACATGAGATATCAATGTGACCTATATTAGAGGTGAAAAGCCTCATAGAGGAATGAGGATCAGAATGCTATTTAAAGGATGAGTAGTATTTGGATAAACAGAAAAGAGCAAAAAAGCTCACTTAAACCAGCTCATAGACCCAGCTTATGACAAATGTCTCTGTGTTCTATTTACTACTTGTGATTAATGATAGGAGAACGGGACATTTTCTGCAGTTGCATCCAGATGTGCTCTCCAAACCTTGCCCTTCTGAAAACCACTGAGTAGTTAAAAAAACCTCACCAGACTGTCTTGAGGTAAGCAGTGGCAACTGGTGATGTCACTGAAGATAGAGGGTAGTAGGTCGTCTGCTAATTTCTCTCGGGCAATAGAGAAGAACTATTTGGTGGGTTTGATGGGTTCTATGGCTGAGCCACAATCCCGCACCTGGTTCATCATAAGACCCCCTTCCATAAATATGCCATAGTGGAGTCAATACATACAGAATGGTCACCTGCTACCCAAGAAACTAATGTTGGGGATTTCCCCAGATCTGCTAGCATTTCCCATTTTGGCAGTCCTTTGTAAGCACACATGTGACTCAGTTGCCATCTGCTTCTCCCTTGCTCTGGTGGAGGTTAGTGAGGACATGAGCGGTGCTTTGCTTCTTATAGAAACAGAATTGTAGAACCATACAAAACCTCATTTTACAGAAAAGGAAACTAAGACTCAGATTGGTTAATGAGTTGCTGTTTAACAGTCACACAGTTAGTCAGTGGCAGGTGAAACCTCAAGGTTTGGGAAGTCAAAAAAACAGAAATCTGGGTCACAGAGGACTTTGGGAAAATTTTTTCAAAGATAGGTTGGATGTATAAAAGGCTTAATTAAAATATGCATATATATATGCATGCGTATATATACACACACATACATACATATATTATGTGCTTTATATTATATATGTTGTATGTGACATAATATAATATATATGTTGCATGTGACATATAATATAATATATATTATATGCGTATATTTCATATATATGATATATGAAAATTCAGGCTTACACAAAAAGTAGTAAGTATCCCAAGATCATAGATTTAGTATTGAAGGGACCTTGCAAGTCTGGTCCCATCCCCTTATTTTACATTATTCATTCTTTCCTTTCAAAAGCAATTTTCTTTAAATGACAATCATCCCTGAAACACTTAAAACATGGTTTGATATTTGAAACTGATATTTCTAAAGCATGGGTCTGACCATGTTACTCTCCTATTAAATAAATTTCAGTGGCTCCTTATCAGCTCCATGGTCAAATACTTTATGGGGCATCCAAAGCCTATCATAACGTGTTTCCCTCCTACCTTTCCAGTCTTCTTATACCTTCTTCTCTCCCTCAGCCTCTGTGATCTAATGACACTGGCCTCCTTGCTGTTCCATACACTGCTTCATCTCTCAGTTCTGGGCATTTTCACTGGCTGTCCCCTTTGCCTAGAATTCTCTCCCTCCTCATCTTTGTCTTTGGGCTTCAGTGACTTCCTTCAAGTCCAAGCTATGATCCTACCTTCTAGAATAAACCTTTCCTGATACTTCTTAATGCTAGTACCTTTCCTCTGTTGATTATCTCCAATTTATTCTGTATATATCTTGTCTGAATATAGCTGTTTGCATGTTATCTCTTCCACTAGAAAGTGAGTCCCTCTCTTCAGTTGTCTGTAAGGTGCTTGATTCCTCTTCAGAAGCTAAGGCCCAGTTTGGGTGAACCCTCACTTTATCCAGTGATGAGCACCACTACAAACAAGTCTCTCCTCATCCTTCTCCTGAAATGACCATCTCTGAGCTCCCTTGCATCTACTCTGCCCTCATCCTTCACAACGATGAGGTTGTGGTCACAGAAGATAAAATCAATGCCCTCATTAAAGCAGCAGGTGTAAATGTTGAACCATTCTGGCCTGGATTATTTGCAAAGGCCCAGTCCAGTGTCAACACTTCAAGTCGCATCTGCAATGTAGGAGTTGGTGGACCTGCCCCAGCAGTCACTGGTGCTGCCCCTACTGGAGGGGCAGCTCCTGCTAGCATAGCTGCCCCAGCTGAGGAGAAGAAAGAGGAAGCAAAAAAAGAAGAATCCGAGGAGTTCGATGATGCTATGGGCTTTGGTCTGTTTAACTAAATATTTTTGTAATATTAAATAAAAAGCTTAACTCAAAAAGAAAGTGAATTCCTTGTGAGCAAGGATTTTTTTTCACCTTATTTTGTATCCCTAGCACTTGGTACAGTTACATAGCAGGCATCTAATAAATGCTTGTAGAGTGACTAATTTAAGAAATAGCTTTCAGAGATGTGTATTACAAGAATGTTTCTTTTTGTCTCTGAATCCTCAGTGCCCAGCACAATGCTCATGGATTATGGATTATGGATCTATGAATAAAAGTACTTTGGAGGTCATCTAGTCCAATCCCTTCATTTTTACAAAAGAAGAAACTAAGATCCATGGAGTACAAGTAACTTGCCCAAAGTCATATAGCCAGCCCCTCAGTCAGTCAACAAGCATTTATTAACCACTTACTACATGCTAGGGACCGTGCTAAGTGCTGAGGATATAAATACAAGCAAAAAAAACGGACTGAGGATAGTCCCTGCCCTCAGGGAACATACATTCTAATTCAAAACATAATTCAAAATGTAAAAGGAGAGCAGAAAAGTTGGGGCAAAGAGGGGAGGACAAGAAGGGGCATAATGACCAAGTCCAGAGAACTGGGAATAGTTAGTCCAGACCCTTACCCAAAGTGAAATGAACTCACCTATCAGAAAAGGGGCCCACAAAAGTGGAATCAGGGGGCAGCTGGAATATAGTGGCCAAATCAGAGAATAAGGTAGTAATTTAGAATATAAGTAGCAGAATTTGGGTTTGAACCTCATGGCCCTCTATTCCAAATTCAATGTTCTTTCTGTAGCACCTCAATGCCAACATAGTAGACACTCAATACTTGCTCAATGAATTGAACTGAATATTTTGTATATTCTACCTACTATTCCAAAGAGAAACAAATCTGTTGCCATCAAAGCTGTGTTTCTACTGGTACCCAATAAGTCTGAAATGTTGAGCATTTGACTTTAAATATACTGTTTCAGAAATGAAGGGTCTTTATTCATTAACTAATGGGGATTATCCTAGGAGGCCCCTTGATCTTCTGGACTAAAGTATTTTCCATAACACTGAGCCTCCATGGTTTGGGCTTGTGTGGGGGGGAGGAGAGGGAGATTCCATGCCATGGAGCTTAAATGAAGCCAGACCTGAACTCTGGCCCTTTCCAGTTGGACCCCATGTTCAAGCTCCTTCCAATGCCATTGTGGCAGCTTGCTAAAGAGCATGCTTGACCAGAGGTTCCTGTATGGGTGTGCATGCTGGGGAGGAGGTTGAAAGGATGGTACCAAAAAGGACTGGTAAATGAACCAGCAAAGAGACATCCTCTCAGTGGGCTTCAAAAGAGAAACAACTTCTGCCACCATATTCCCTCTCTTCTTCTTTTTGGAGCATATCTCTTGGAACTTAGGCAACCTTTCCTTCCTCATATATAAATGAAGGGTAGACTTTAAGGTATAATCAGTGAGTCGGAATATAACAAGCATTGGATGTGGAAAGTTCAAATCGTGGCTCACCTTACTACCTGTGTGACTTTGTCTAAGTCTCCGAACTTAACCCTAATCTCTCTGGACCTCAGTTTCACTCTCTGTGAAATGAGGGGGTGTGTTTAATTACATCGAAGGTATAACCCCCTAAATTTCAAAGTACAATAGAAGAACAGGAAGACAGGAGACCAAGTTTTTATATCAGACATCACGGCAGACTAGTTCAATTTCCGCTCTGCCCCTTCCCATCCTGCTCCAATCAGGTTGCTGGTTGTTGCATAGATAATAATAATTATACCTTAGCATTTTTTTAAACTTTTTTGAAAAGCACTTTCACAAGCAACCAACCAAATACATTTTCCACTTTCCAACCGGTAGTTTTGCTCCTCTGTGGATACAGTGTGAGACAACAGAAACTGGTCTAGCCACCAGTGGAGAAAAAAGCAATCAGCGACAGGCCTGGATACAACCAACAGTGTGGAGACTGGGCCAGATCCTTATCGCCTTGGACCTCAACACCCTGCCCCCACCCCAGCACATCACAAGTAAGAGAATGAATGAGCTCCTTTGGAAGGCTAAGCCCTGAGGTGTTCATTACTGTGAGGCACATCCTAAAGCTTGTACATCTGTATCTATTTTTAAATGGAAGGACTAGATACACATAGGGCCTGGACCTTCCTTTTCCTTAAGACTCCTTTATTTTAAAAAGGTGAAAAATGAAGGCCATGTCTATTCTGAAATTTTCTTATTCTATGGTTTATTTTTGAAAACTATAACAAATTGGAATGTAAATTGCTGGAAAGGGCATTGGGTAAAAAAAATGATACTGAAGAATTTTTCCAGAGAGAATATTTCATTTCAACCAACCACAGGAGGAATACCTAACCAGCTGTTTTCCAAGAAGTCATCAACTAAGTTTTAAGGAAAAGTTTGTTTAAGATCGGGAAAAATGGAATATTTAAGGAGCTGTCTATATAATTATATGCAAGCACAAATTTCTCCTATCTTTAATCTGACTCTTACTTATGGGAGAAGACATAAAAGGGAGAGAACTAGGAGTGGAGAAACAGAACTCAGATTTGAATCCTGTGCTATGTGTTCCCTAAGTGACTCTGGTCAAGCCCCTCTCCCTCCATGCCTGTTTCATCAGCTGTAAAATGTAGATGTTGGACCAGTAATTTGTTAAATGCCTTCAAGCTCCAGAGCCTATGATCCCAAATGTTTTCAACCTGTGTTAGGAGAATCAGATTCATCATATCTTATCAGTGAGGCAAGAAGCATTTAATAAGTACTACGAAGCAGCTGGGTGGCACAGTGGATGGCTTGCCAGGCCTGGAATTGGGCTGAGTTTAAATCTGGCCTCAGACACTTACTATAGCTGTGTGACCCTGAGCAAGTCACTTAACCCTGTTTGCCTCAGTTTCCTCATCTGCAAAATGGGCTGGAGAAGGAAACAGCAAACCACTCCAGCGTCTTTACCAAGAAAACCCCAAATGAGGTCACAAAGAGTTGGATACTACTGAAATGACTGAAAAACAACAAATATGACAGCCAGCCTCTATGTAAACCACTGGGATACAAAGAAAACACAGTCCCTTCCCTCAAGGAATCACATTCTTACAACATGTAAACAGCTGTGTGAATACAATATTGCCTGTACAAGGCAGGCAATCTCAGAGAGAAGGTGCTGGTGGGGTGGGGGAGGGAATAAGGAGTATGGAAGGCCTCTTCTACAATGTGGGGGGGGGTTCAACTGAGTTGAAGAAAGTCAGCAAAGTGAAGAGGCAGAGGTGAGAAAGGAGAGCATTCCAGATATGGAGGACAGCCAGTGAAAAGGTTTTGTGTTAGGAACAGCAAAAAGGGCGGTGTAGTTGGATTACTGGGTGTGTGAAGGGGACTAAAGCATAGGGAGACTGAAAAAGTAAGAAGAAGCCAGGCTGGGAAAGGTTTGAAATATCAAATAAAGGATTTTACATTTGATCCTGTGGGCACTAGGAGCCACTGAAGTTTACTGAGGAGGTGGTGCCATGGGCAGATTTACTCTTTAGGAAAATCACTTTGGCCCTTAATAGAGGATGGATTGGAGTGAGGAGAGATTTTTAGCAGGAAGACCAATTAGGAGGTTATTTCAATAGTGCGGGAGAGAGGTGATGAGGGGCCTGAACTAGGGTGATCACCGTGTGAGTGGAAAGAGGTACACAGAGGAGAATAGCTCCCCAACCCAACAGCTTAAATAAGACCAAGAACAGGAGCAGAGTGGGCAATCCTGACTCTGACACTTAACAGCTGGACCAGTCACGTAACCATTCTGGGCCTCAGTTTCCCCATCTATAAAATGAGGGCACTGACTAAATGACCTCTCAGGTCCCTTCCCCCTCTAAATCTATGATCTGAGGAACAACTCCAGGGAACCTTTGAAACAATGAAGTGTGAATGATTGATCCTCTGAGCAGGGGGCAAACTGTTTTATTTGGTAACCTGATTCCACCCCTTGTCTTAGAGACAGGAGAAGCAGAGAGATGATTTCTCAACTGATGATTATTAACTAATCAATCTGAGGCAAGATCAGGGAACATCGCCTAAGCCTTTCCGAGAACACTTGGCCTTTTCTTTCCTTTTGGCATCATTCTGGATGTTTCTTTTGTTTTGTTTCCTTTTTTTTTTTTTAAAGAGAAAGCCTGTCTCCAGCTTTTCCTTGCCTAGGTGTTAATGTGCAATTCCTTAATGAAATCTGACCTGTCGCTGATGTTGTTGCATCACACTGCAGCTATTTTTACTTGGCAGTGTGAGTCACAGGGGCATAATATTGCAGTGTTCAGCGTAGCTGAGAAAACACGGTGGGTGCAGTCAGAGTAGTGGGCAGATGGGCGGTAGGGTGCCACCTTTCTCTCTCTCTCTCTCTCTCTCTCTCTCTCTCTCTCTCTCTCTCTCTCTCTCTC